CACACACACACACACACACACACACACACTAGCTAGCTAGCTCGCTCACTGACAGGTGCTGTGATCTGAGAACCAATGGCTCGCCTGTACAGCCCTGGCGCTCACTTACCTCTTTCATGTGCCCCTCTGGCCTCAGGGACACCGGCGGTGTGTGTGAAGGTGCCGGGCTCGTTCCAGGCCTTCAGTGCACTTCATTACCACCACACAGAGCTTCAGCCTGCCCAACAACACATCAGAGAGACTGGGGAAAGTAGGAGGAGAGAGGAGAGGGATGTGAAAAGATAAAAGAATTGACAATGAGTAAGACAGACACAGGCGGAGAGGAGAAAGATGGAGACAGGATGTGAGGGGGTGAAACTGACAGGAGTGTAGGTAGGTGCGGAAAAAGCTGAAAAAGAAATTAGCAAATACATGGAGAGAGAGAACGAGAGAGAGAGAGAGAGAGAGAGAGAAATTTAGGGAAGGTGGGCCAATTTGATGGAGAGGGAGCGATAGGAAGAGATACAGAGAGAGAAAGTGAGTTGTTTCTGTTTGTTGTTTGTTTGAAGTCGTTCTCAGAACGCTCTTTGAACCAATAACACTAATGAAGCACAGAAACCAGAGCCAGGGGCTGTGTAGGAGCTAAACACACACTCACACACACACACACACACACACAAGAGAAACCAGTCACGAGTGTTTCATAAATTCCTCAACAGCATTCAGAGCTGAACAGCACAACAGGTTTCTGTCAGTGACCCGTATGAGCGGTACCGCAGCAGGTTCAGATGAGCCACCTCCACGTAGTCCAGGTGCCAGATTCAAAGAGCCACTTTTCATAAGAGCATTGAAGTGAGTACGTTCTCACCATGTTCAGAGATGGAGCGTCCTAAGAATGCCGAATCACAGCCATTTTATTTCCCGCCAAAACCAAATGATGTGTGTTGATGATCTAAATAACCTGTCCAGGTAAATAGTTCACGATGACGCTGTGAGCGTGACATAACTGCATCGGCTGGATTTAATGTAGAGTTTTAAAAGCCTGACCGTTGTGTTCTTTAACCCAGACAGTACAGAGGAGAAGACTTTTCCATGTGACCTTCTCGGCCTTAAAGTGAACGTGTCAGACACAAAGACTGACTCCAACAACAGAATCTCATCAACACATCTGTTGGTTCTGTTGCTGTCATCGTTGACTGTGTTCTTCACTGTCTCCTCCGTGATGCACAGGGCTGTGCAGCCTTTACTCACAGCCACAGCTTGAGTTCCAGGACGGACCAGTTTGCCTGAGAAAGAGTTCAACACGACGCTGATGAGTTTTCTGGACAGAAGGCCAAGAAGCTCCACTTTGGTTATAACAGTTCTAGTGTCCATTGGTCAAAATGTCGACTTGTTGTTGTCCAAATATCGACCCAAAGTTCTTCTAAGAGGGAGATACAAGATGCTGCTCCATAGAACGGACACTAGAAGAAAACCATTTAAAGCAGCCGCCGTGCACTCTGTGGACTCAGATGTTGAGGTCTGAACCATTTCACACGTTTCAAAGCTGGACATTGAGGAACTTCAGGTACACACCTGTCTGAGTGTGTGGGTCATAGGCCATTCCTGTGTTTACTGGATATGACACAGGATCTGCATTTGCAACCTGGGGCAAGGAGACAACATACCTGGGATGGTAATGAAGTGGCAACAGAGCCTTTGATTTTTCTGTCAGAGGCTCCAAATGCCTCCCAGAGGAGGACATCTCCACTATGATTGCACCAGCAGTCCACTTTTCAGTCACACTTTGACTGAAGTCACTTGCAGCTCAGTTAGATGTTTTATGTCTGTTCTTGAACATGACTTGGTGCCTCCAGCTTTAGCTCCTTCAGCTGCTTGCTGTTGCTCCAGGACATGCTGCCAATCTCCACAGCACAGGTGGCTTTCAACTGTTGCTCCATGAGCCTCACTCAGCCGACCTGCGCTGTGTGGATAAATCCTCGTCCTGCAGTAGCACCAGCCTGAAAGCTTTCCTCTGCCTGCAAAGACATGACAGCAAGCTGGTTCTCCGGCTTCCTCCCACAGTCCAGAAACATGCTGAGGTTAATTGGTGATTGTAAATTGTC